TCATGCTGTTGGCTCATAAACGACCTTCCTCGACCTCGGGCGTCCACTCTTTTGGTCGGTACATGCGCGTCGGCTCAGGGTACTTGTGCTCGTCGGCCTCGTTGTTGTCATCGCTCAGGCAGCAGCCTTCCGCAAGCTTGTACTTGGAAGCTTCGAGCTGGCGGCTCGAACGCAACGAGTTGCTACGGTCCAGTGAGGCTGGCTTGGTCTTGAGCGGAGCGCCTTGATACCTCCGGGCGAGGGCGGGCCCTTGGGACGAGAGCGCCCGGCGGCCGACGCTCATCGCAGAGATCGAGAGTCCTTCCATCGAGTTTAGAGATTCACTTGTGCTCAAATGCAAGGGACAAGTTGGCGATGGAAACGCCCGCCCTGTGAATAGCTCTGAAACTCACCACCACGATATACGCGATAGCGACCAACATAAGTTCGCACCAACCGAGGCACCGCCCAAAGCCAGTCCAGCTCGCACTTGCGTGAGTCATCGTCTTTTGGGTCGAGAACGCCACTCGCGGTGCCGCCATCTTTCTTCTCTGCGAACTCGAAAAGACAACAGCCCCTGTTGTGGGTACTGCCCATGCGCTCCACACGACACGTGCTTGCAGGTGTGCTTACATTTCAAGTTGAAGCTGAGCAATGAAGTCACCCCAGGTAGGTCTGGGGTGGCTTCTTGTAGCACGTCATATTCCTTCACTCTTCATTTCCATTCTCCACGATCTCGAGCGACATCACGCCCTAGACTCGATGGTGAATTGCTCTTGTTGAATCGACGCCGTCATGACTCATAATACGGGCCCTTTGGGACACACTCGCTTCGAGGCACCGCACGGAAACGGTTCGACAGCGACAATAGCTTACATGTACGATCGTCCGCCACGCAACCAAAACTCTCCACACGAAGCGCCCTTGTCTCGAAATCAAGGTGCATTGAATCCTAGAGCCACCAGTGTATCCATCGTGCTCAGCGATGTGGATGACGAGGCAGCTTCTCCAACACACACACGTCAACGCACATGCTTCGTCGTTTATTTTTTGGCAACAGAGGGTAGACACTACTACTACAAGTGGCAAGCGCCTTAGACAGCCTTGGTGGGCGCGTCGAGGGGCACTGCGAGGGCAATCGACGCGCTCTCGTCGACGTCGTCCGTCATGCGGGGCGTCTCCATGAGCTCAAACTTGGTCGTTGGCGTCCCAGCGCTCTCCACGATCAAGAGACGGGGACCCGTCGAGTGCTGGTACGTGCCGACGATAAGCGACACAAAGAGCGTCATGGCCACAAACACCGCCATCGTCGAGCTTGCACGCAGCGCATCACAGTTGACGCTGCAGAGAGCGCGAACCTCCAAGTCTACCTCGTGCTTACTACTGCCGCACACGTGGTTGCTTGCATACGAGTTGGCGAGTGACGCGTTGGCAGCGAGTGTGAACACCAAGCTCGCGAGGTTGAGCGCGAGCACGATTGGCCGATGAGCCACATAACGTGCGGTGCGGTACGCAGCGGCAAAGGCACCGCCGGTACTGAGCACAACTACGATGAGTGTCGCAGTCAACGAGAGCTCGAGCGCGTCCATGTCGCTAATCTCTTGAACATATGCACTGCAAAACGTCGACTGCATGTAGCGGCCGGCGCAGGTCGTCGCGAGTAGTGCGAGCATCGCCGTGAGGCCGTGGAGGCCGACCGGGAGGCACGGGCACAAGGCGATGGCGCGAAGACGTGCGGTGATGGTCGAGGCTGCGAACATGATTGCGTGTTGAGAGCAAATGGCAAACTGGTGTCTTGAAAGGCAAAGTGGTGGTTTGATAGGCAAAGTGTTGGTTTGAAAGGGGTGTACCTATATTCGTACAAGGCACGGGCCCCTGAAACGGAAATCTAGCGCCCTAGCTAGACAGGCCGCAAGGGTATCTTTAGAATGATAGATTTGGATGTGCTGGCAAGGTTGGCAAAGCACTCGTATCTATCTTCGTGTCCCGTCGGGCCGTTGTTGAGTGTACCTCGTAGACACCTATTTACGCCGATTCGTGGCTAGACTTTCTTTCGCTTTTCTCAGGCTAAAAGAGATGTGACAGAGAGAGAGGGCGTTTCAAGAGCCCAGTGGTAGTGTAGGTCGCTATGCGAGACGTTCTCAATGCTACCGTGGAGGGCGACACCGCTGCTCTTTCATTCCACAGCGTCATCATCCTCGCACTCGCTTCAACTATCTCT